GGGGGTCCCAGGGGGGCTGGCAGGGGGGTGTGTGTCTCTGGGTGTGGGGCACAAAAGGGTTGGCGGGGGGGGGATGTGGGCACAGGGGGGCTGCACACATGGCACTGGGGGTCTGGTGTTTGCCCCCCACTTCGGGGCAGTGGAACCAGTGCGGTGTCTGGGCCCTGTTATCACAGGGGGGCTGGGGGGCTGCATCCTGCACTAGACCCCACCTCAGCCCCCAGGGGGGCGAGGGGACAGGGGACACATGGGAGGCAGAGCCACCTGCAGCTCCCCTTGTCCTCAGGCCACCGTGGGATGGTGCCTCGGGAAGAGCAGCACCATGGGGACACAGCCCCCTGGCCAGGAGCTGCACTCCACAGGGGGGACCGCTGCTGGAGCAGGAGACGTCCCAGCTGTCCCCGAGCCTGCCAGGCTAGGGACGGTGGCACAGCCGGGCTTCCCGGGGGGTGCACGATGCAGCCAGAACACCGGCATGGGGCTTGGGGGGCCGGTGGATGTGGCGGCGGGGACCCTCGGCTCGGTCGGGCAGAGGCAGGCAGGTAGGTGCCTTCTCTCCCTCCCTGCCCACCCCATGGGACTGGGGACGTGGGGCCAGTGGGCTCAGCCAGGGCTGGCCTTGCAGGGCAAGCAGCACCCGCCACCACCAGCCACCGTGGCCGCCACCACCACCCCTCGCTCGACCCTGAGCAGCTCCAGAGGGCCAGGCTGCACGTGGAGAGGGCCATCAAGGTGAGGGGCCTGAACCCCCCCATGGCATGTACCTGCATTTATGGCTCTGGAGGGAAGACCTGAGGTGGGGGTGGGCTGAGCTTTCGGGTCCCTCCCCAGGAGAAGAAGATCTTCATGGTGCAGGGTCCCTACCCTGTCATCCGCAGCCTGCTGCGGGCCCGGGGCTGGGTGGAGAGGAAGTTCCGTGGCACAGGCAAGGCGGGCGGCCGGCCGGAGCAGCATCATGGCAGCCAGGAGACGCAACTGCAGGAGAAGGAAAGTGATGGTGACGGTGCTGAGCAGGAGGAGGCAGGGTTGGACCCACAGCCAGGGTTAGATTGTGGTGGGGCACAGCCATCCCAGGGGACATCAGAGCCCCTGCACTCCCCATCGCCACCCGAAGAGGAGGAGAAGGAGGAAGAAGAGCAATGGGATAAGGACCCTGAAGCCATCCACAACCTCATGGTTATCTGGGGGGGATGCCACAGCCCCCAACACCCTTCCCTCAGGACCCCCAGGCACAGCCTGGGGTGAGGGTGGGATGGGGGGGTCCATTCCTCACCCTGGCTCCCTTCCTCCCCCAGTCCCGCCTGGTGCGGAACCAGGTGCCATATTTCATCTGGACCAACCGCTGCAACGCCATCGACTGCCGGCTGCTGCAGCAGGACCAGGTGGTGAACCACTATGCCCGGGTGGGCGCCTTCACCACCAAGGTGGGTGCCCGGAGCATCCCCCCGCCCTGGGGCGGTGGTGGTGGTGGGACACAACAAGGGTAAGGGAGGTCCAGCAGGGGCTGCCACCCTTTTCTAAACAGGAGGGGCTGTGCCAAAACCTGCGAAACCTGCCCTGGTTTGACCAAGCTGACCCCGACACCTTCTTCCCCCGATGCTACCGGCTGAGGGTTGTGGATGAGCGGCAAGCCTTCATCGGTGAGCGTGGGTCAGCGTGACCCCCCCCACCTCCACGGATGTTGTCCCCCTGTTTCCCCCCACCCCAGCGCTCCCAGTACCCCCTGTGTCCTGCTTGGCACGGAGCAGGGATGATACCCCCCCACCTTGCAGAAGATTTCCGCCTGACAGCAGCCCGCAGCCTGCTCAAAGTGGCCATGGAGAGGGCTGGGGACGGGCTGGTGGAGACAGAGCAGCCCCTGAAATCCAGCGAGGGGCCAGGTGAGTGTGTGGAGCTTGGCCTGGGAGGAGGGGACAGGGAGTTCGGGGTCAGGGACATGGATGGGGGCTGAGCTTCTGCTCAGGGCTGTGGCTTGGGACCTTCTACTCCCTCCCACCCATCCCTGTGCGCCCAATGCCACCCATCCCACGGGCAGGCTCTGTGCTGTGGCCCCAAGGGTGGCACAGCAGGTCCACAGGAGCCGTGCCCCTCACCCCATGCCATCCACAGCAGGGCCGGGGCCCCCTTTGCCCCCCCATCTGGTGGAGGAAGCCCTGCAGGTCTGCAGGCAGCACCTGGGCAGCCTGGGGCACCAGGACATCGACAGGGACCCCTGTGCCCCACAAGCCATGGGCACTGACTGGGACCGCTTCCTGCAGGACTACTACCGTGTGGTGCAGTGAGTGCCGAGTGGGACGGGGGGGACAATGTGGTGGGGTCAATACTGAGCCCCCCCTTGTCCTCCCCCCACAGCGAGGGGGCCGGGCTGGCACTGAGCGGTCCGCAGCGGGAGCAGTGCCAGGCTCTGCTGCAGCGCCTGGGCAGGGGCCTGCCCCAGCTCGGCATGGAGGGCTACCACAACGTCTGGATCCTCAAACCCGGTGCCAAATCCCGTGGCAGGGGTAGGCCAGGGGAAGCCAGGGAGGAACTGGCGGAAGAACCCTCCCCACCACGGAGGGGGTCCCCCCATCACCATGTGCCCCCCCCCCCAGGCATTGTCTGCGTGGCGCAGCTGGAGGAGGTGCTGCGGCTGGCGGGGGTCTGCGCGTCGCCCTCGGCACGGGTGGGCGAGTGGGTGGTGCAGAAGTACGTGGAGCGGCCGCTGCTCATCTTCGGCACCAAATTTGACATCCGGCAATGGTTCCTGGTGACGGACTGGAACCCGCTGACCGTCTGGTTCTACCAAGAGAGCTACCTGCGCTTCTGCTCCCGGCCCTTCTCCCTCTGCCACCTGGACCCGTGAGTGTCCCCCGACCCCAGCACCCCACCCTGGCACCCCCCAACCCTGACCCAGCCCTGCTCTCCCCACCCCAGCGCCCGGCACCTCTGCAACGTCTCCATCCAGAAGCGGTACAGGCTGGTGCAGGGCCGGCACCCCCGGCTGCCCCCCGACCAGACCTGGTCCTGCCCGGAGGGGGTCCCCCCATCCCCATGTGCCCCCCCCCCCAGGCATTGTCTGCGTGGCGCAGCTGGAGGAGGTGCTGCGGCTGGCGGGGGTCTGCGCGTCGCCCTCGGCACGGGTGGGCGAGTGGGTGGTGCAGAAGTACGTGGAGCGGCCGCTGCTCATCTTCGGCACCAAATTTGACATCCGGCAATGGTTCCTGGTGACGGACTGGAACCCGCTGACCGTCTGGTTCTACCAAGAGAGCTACCTGCGCTTCTGCTCCCGGCCCTTCTCCCTCTGCCACCTGGACCCGTGAGTGTCCCCCGACCCCAGCACCCCACCCTGGCACCCCCCAACCCTGACCCAGCCCTGCTCTCCCCACCCCAGCGCCCGGCACCTCTGCAACGTCTCCATCCAGAAGCGGTACAGGCTGGTGCAGGGCCGGCACCCCCGGCTGCCCCCCGACCAGACCTGGTCCTGCCAGCAGCTCCAGGCCTACCTGGCTCAGGTTGGGCGGGCGGGCGCCTGGCAGCAGGTGATGGTGCCCGGCATGAAGGCGGCGGTGGTGAGCGCCCTGCGCAGCGCCCAGGACCTGGTGGAGCACCGCAAGAGCAGCTTCGAGCTCTACGGGGCCGACTTCATCTTCGGGGAGGACTGCCAGCCCTGGCTGCTGGAGATCAACGCCAGCCCCACCATGGCCCCCTCCTCGGCGGTGACCCGCCGGCTGTGTGCCAGCGTCCAGCAGGACACGCTGCGCGTGGTGATCGACCGCAGGGACAACCCCGCCTGCCCCACGGGTGCCTTTGAGCTCATCTACAAGGAGGTGAGCTGGGGGGCAGGCACCCCCTCTCCCCAGGCACCCTGAGCCTCCACTCCCCACCATGTCCCCCCGCAGGCGGCCGTGCCCGTGCCCCTATATGTGGGGCTGAAGCTGATGGTGCGAGGCTGCTCCCTGAAGAAGCCCAAGCTGGCACAGCACCAATTACGGGGCAAGCCCCCCACCGCTGCGCCCCGTGCCCCCCAGCCCCTTGTGACCCCCGGCATCTCCAGCAAAGCCACCAAGGTCCCCCAGCCAGGAGCAGCACGGGGGGAGCCGGCTCCTCTGGGGCGATGGAGCCGCTGCTACCCCCCCAGCACCACCTGCTGTGCCAGGAGCCGGGGGCTGCCCCCCATCAGACGCCCCCACGGACATCCTCCAGCAGCTCTGCCCCAGCTGATTGTCCATCCCCTGCCCAGGGTACCCATCCCACCACCCCAGGGAACCTCCGGCAGCCCCGTCGGCCAGACCCTCCCTTCTGTTCGTGCCGAGGTGCTGCAGCACCCTGGCTTGGCACCCGGTGCTTGGCCTCCCTGCCCGGGGCAGCCGAGCTCTACTGCCAGGAGAAGGCGCATGGCGGATCCCAAGGGGAAGCAGAGGAGCTGACACACTGAAGGACACCCAGGAGGGGACAGCATCCCGCCTGTCCCAGCTGGGGCAACGGCGTGGCACCCAGCTCCCCCCCACCCCAGTTGGAGCCCATTCCTGGGTGGGGGCACCTGTCCCTCACCCCATAGGGGCTGCAAAACATGTCTGTGACAGGGACCCTGGCTCTGTCCCTCTGTGTGTGGGGAGGGAGGTGGGCACAGCCTGGGCCAGGGACAGAGGATGGGCAGGAAAAGACACCCTGTATCATGTGCCTTCCAGACAAGCCATGGCGCTGGTGCCAGCAGCACCAACTGTCACCAGCTCTGCTCAGAATGGGGAACACTGCTACCCCCAGCAACGCTGTGGGCACGGGGCAGTGGGGGACGCATCCCTGCGTGCCAAGAAAAGAAACGGGTACTGAGCCACCCCGGTGGGGATTTAATGGGGTGGCAGAGGGGGAGTGGGGTTGGGTTGGGGGGTGTCAGGGCTCCTCGGGCAGTCCCAGGCGGTGCAGGGTGCGCAGGAAGTGGGGTGGCAGGGGGGCACAGAGCGGGCCCTGGGGCAGCAGCAGCTGCTGGAGGTGGAGGTGGAGCGGGAGGCGTTGGAGCTGCTGCGACGAGAGCCCCAGCCGGGACAGCAGCTCCTCGTCCAGCACCTGCAATGCGGGGAGTGGAGAGAGCTCAGCGGGGTCCTTGGGGGCTGTGCTAAACACACACACACCCCCCCAAGGACCCACCCCAGCCACGTACCTGTGTGCGGGTGGGGGCAGCCTCGGGGGGCAGGAGGAAGGGCACCCCCAGCACCTTGCCCACCCGGGAGGAATGCTGGTGGTCACCCAGGGCTGGGCACAGCAGCATCGTCAGGTGCACCTGGAGCTGCTCCGGGAAGGCTGGGGAGGCATGGGGAGGGTGGTGGGACAGTGCTGGTGGGAAGGGAGGGGTACGGGGGTGGGGGTGTGCTTGGGGGGGCTACTCACCTGTCCTGGGCTGGAGCTGGAGGAGGGCACAGCCCCCTGCAGTGCCCAGCACCCGGTACCGGGTCAGGGTGCTCTTCACCTCCTTCCTGGCCAGGCTACGGCGCCCCGGGGCTGGCACCGGCACCACCTGCAGTGGCACAGCCCTCAGCACCCCCCCAGGGCACCCCCATAGCCCCCAACCAACCCCCCCCCAACCCAGGCACCCCCTTACCACGGTGGTGTCACCCTGCTGCTGCCAGCACAGCCCAGTGCGGATCTCACCCTCTGCCTCCGCCGGGACCCCCACGGTGATGGCGCTGTGGGGAGAGGGGGTGAGGAGGGGATGGGACAC